CTACTTCATTGTCTTCAACTGTAAAATACTGGCAGTAAGGGAGCCGACCTGCAGAGGAGTCCTACAGAACCCGTAAGCTAGGCACGCAATGGGTTTCCCACAGTGCCTGCGGCATAGTCAAAATAAGAAACATGGGGGTGTTGTTATCAATTCCTCAGAAAGTCTCTTAAGCACCTTACAATGTACTAGGTGTTCTGAGAGCCATAAGCTACGACCTTCAAAGTCAAGTAGAAAGTTCAAGCAGGAGACTAGGGATGTAGCTCAATGGCACAAGTACCTGCCGAGAGAGAGAGAGAGAGAGAGAGAGAGAGAGAGAGAGAGAGAGAGAGAGAGAAAGAAAAGAAGAATTTAAGGAAAAGCAAATCTTCATTAAGTACTTAGTCTACTTCTTGGTCTAAATGGTCCACGTTAACATTTTCCTCTGTAAGGGCTGGTGAGATAGCTCAGCAGATTAAGTGCCTGCTTTGGCAAGCACAGGGACCAGGGTTCCACCCCCATCCCACATGCTGCATCAGCCCTGCCCCTGGGGCGCTCTGAGCTGGTGGCCAAGTCTGGGCATGGTGACGCATGCCTGTAATCCCAGAGCTGTGGAGGCTAGAACAGGAGGATCGCTACGAGTCTGAGCTGCGAAGTGAGACCCTGTACCAAATACACAAAATGAAAAACAAGACCAAACATTTTCCTCTACAACTGGTCAGCCTCCGCCCCAAGGAGGAGATACTGCACAGGACAAGGCCTTGTGGCCCTGTGGAAAGCCATATTATTATTAATTTCTGTCTATGAGTGACAGGCTAATTTAGCACTACAAAAGCGCTTAACTAGTAGAGCCCATCAGACTATCCACAAGTCCAGCCCAGGGACTAGGGGACCCCAATTTGAAATGCCAGTGCAGCTCACAGAAAGGTATAACACCGGCCTCCAGCCATACTTCAGAGAGAGGGATTTCCTCCTTCCCTTCCCTCCTCTCCCCTCCCCATCTGTCCTTCCCTTCCTGTTTTTTTTCTTTCCATTCTGCCCAAACTTTTCCTTAAGTAGCAAAATAGTAGCAAAAATCAGGGAAGGTAGGTGAAGTGCTCTTGCGCCCAGACTGCTTATGTCAACAACATAACTGGATAAATCCTTACAATAAATCCTCACTTTTTTATTTTTTTAATTTTTTTTTTTAATCCTCACTTTTTTAAAGAAAGGAGCTCTCTATGTAACCCAGCCTGGCCTGGAACTCACTATGGAGCCCAAGCTGGTCTTGAACTTTCTACCCTCCTCTCCTAGCCTCCCAAATTCTGGGACTATTGGCATGTGCCACCATACCTGACTTATCATTTTACTTTTAAAATTATGTAACTATAAATTCACATGCAATATAAGAACTAATACAGAAAGATCCTGATTCTCTTCTTGTATAACCATAGCACCTTTCCCTACCAAGAATAATCCACCAGCCTTACTCAGATGTCATTATTTTTGTATGCACTCTGTGTGTATGTGTGTCTAGTTCCAAGCAATTGAGTCACATGTGTAGACTCACGTAATCAGTATTATAGTCAAAGTACAGAATAGTTCCTTCCTTCTCCCCATCAACCACTCATCTATTCTCCATCTCTATGGTTCTGTCATTTCAAGAATGTTATATAAATAACTCTCTGGAGTATATAATCCTTTGAGATTGGTTTTTCTCTCAGCATAATTCTCTTATGACTTCTCCGAGTTGTTGAGTATATCAGCAGTTCATTCCTTTTCATTGCTAAGTTGTAGTCAGTGATATACAAACTGATATCAGAGAATGAGGTCAATGTTTAAATTTTAAAAATGTATTATAGTAAGAGACACATTTCCATTAATAACCCTCCAAATATTCCCACTCACTTCAAACCCACTTATCTCACAACTCTCGCCACCTCCTGAAGCAGCTCAGAAAGCCCTCTTTTCTAAGTGTCCTTAGCTGCCCTGTTGTGGCTGTCTTGATGTCCTGAGTCACTTCAAACCATCTACCTTTCCTGATCATTTTGCCTTTGGGGAAGAGCCAGGAGTTGCCATCTCTACTGAGTAAAGTGGGTGAAGACGCACTGTATGTTGTTACGAGTCTGCCTTTCCCTTCAAGGGTGTTCAGCAACGTCATCTGCCATATGTTTTTATCTCCCCTCATAAAGACACTCACAAAAGAGGGCTTTCAGAACTGCTTCCGAAAGTGGCAAGAACGATGGAATAAATGCATTCAAATCAAGGGGGAATATTTTGGAGGGATTAACGGTAAAGTGTCTTTTTCATAATAATTTCTTGTTTAAGCCTCCACAGGACATCTCAGTCTCCTTGTAGATACACCACAGATGCTTTATCCATTCATGTATTGAACTATGTTTGGGTTGTGTCCAATCTGGGGCTATTGGAAATAGCCCCAAATCTCTTTGAACATTCATGGGCAAATGTTTGTGTGAACATATGTTTTTATTTCTCTGGAAGAAATGCCTAAGAGTACAATTGCTGGGTCATATAGTGAGTGCATATTCAGTTTTGTAAGAAACAACTGGGTATGGTGGTACATGCCTGCCATCCCAGCCTTGAGAGGCAGGAGGATTGCTGTGAGTTCAAGTCCAGCCTGAACTACACAGGCAAGTCCTGTCCCAAAAAGGAAGGAAGGAAGGAAGGAAGGAAGGAAGGAAGGAAGGAAGGAAGGAAGGAAGGAAGGAAGGAAGGAAGGGAGGAAGGAAGAAAGAAGAGAGAGAGGGAGGGAGGGAGGGAGGACCACACTATTTTCCAGAGTGGCTCTACCATTCTACATTCCCACCAGCAATGCATAGGTGATCTAGTTTGCAGTTTGTCACTGAGTTTTGTTGGGGATGCAGTGCTACCTCACTGCAGTTTTAATTTGCATTTTTCCTAATGGCTAATGATGCTGAGCATCTTCTCATGTACTTATTTGCCATCTGCATATCCTTTTCAGTGAGATGTCTGTGTATGTCCTTTGTCCTGGCTCTAGCTGGGTTGCTTATAATTTTACTGGTTAGTTCTGAGAGGTCTTTGCATATTCTAGATACAAATTCTTTATCAAATAAGTTGTTTGCAATATTGTCTTGCAATCTGTAGTCTTCTTATCCTCTTCATAGAGTTTGATGAAAATCAAACATTTTAATTTTAACGAGGCCCACTTCTTCATTTTCCACGTCTGGATCATGTTTTTGGTGTCAAGTCTAAGACCTTTTTGCCTAACCTATGATCTGGAAGATTTGCTTCTGTTTTTGTTTGTTTGTTTGGTTGGTTGGTTAATTTTTTTTAACCTAAAAATATTACAGTTTGGTGTCTTCTGTTTAGGCTTTTGGTCTATATTGAGTTGTTTTTTTTTTTTTGTTGTTGTTGTTGTTCTATAACATGGGGTTTAAATGAAGCTTCAGTTCTTTTTTTTTTTAATGGATGTCCAGTTGTTCAGGCATCCTTTGAACAATCTCTGTTGAAAAGAAGTTTGGCATTATCCGTCATGAGCCCTAAGGCTGCCTACAGCTTGTCTCCTGTCACTTTTGGGAATTTATCAGAAGGAAATAATGCAGTAACAGGGGTGGGGGCCTATACGCTTAGGAACTCATCGCTGAAGCATTGTTTTTGTAAGACTGGAAGTAATCTAAATACCTAATAATATGGCCCAAGGTTAGTATGGCACACATATGGAATGATATATATCAATTAAAAACATGTTTGTATGATAATTGTTACCCATTCAAAAAATATTTAATCCACAGTCATGTATATTGGTACTGAAAAATTACATAGTGAGCAAATCAGACAGCACCCCTGCCTTCTCAAAGTTCATTATTATTTTTAATTAATTAATTAATTTATTTATTTATTTGGTACAGGGTCTCACTGTGCAGCTCAGACCATAGTGATCCTCTTGGCTCAGCCTCCCCAACACTGGGATTACAGGCATGAGCCACTATGCCCAGTTTGGGGCCAGGACAGCACACCTGAGGTTCCAGGGCCTGCGCAGAGTGCAGTACCCGTATCGAACCAGTCTTTCTGCTTGCCAGGCAGGTGCTTAGACAGCTGAGCTATCTCCCTAGCCCCAAAGCTCATAATTTAGAAGAGAAGGTAGAGAAAACAATTCATTTAGATAGAATCATTTGATAAAGGGGAAAATGGAAATAATATTATATTACAAGGTTATTAAAAGTAAGATAGATACAGAAAAAACATATATATGAAAAAACTATATATATATATATATATATATATATATATATGGAAAAAAAACTTTTTTGAGTGGTCAAATCAAAATTTTTTTCACATACCTCCTTCTATACTATTGTTTAATGAAAAGAACACAACAAAAAGTAAAGTTCCAGTTCCAAAGTGGCTACTTGCCTTGTTACAGCTAGAAATACTGCTCCGAAGAGGCAGCGGGCATAACGTAACTATCCAGACAGATACTGGAGCCCAGCTGAGTCTGGGTGGATTACCCAGTCAGTCAGCAAGTAGCAATGGAGAGCGCACAAGGTAACCCATGGCGCCCCGAGCACTTGGGGTGTGAGTGTAGGAACAGACAGGCCCTGACCTCATGGAGCATGTCCGGGAAGCCCTGATCTCAGTCCTGCCTTATGCTTGTCCAGTTCATACTCTGCAGCATGTCATCGCGTGGCCCCTCCTACGGTCCCCTGAACAAACTTGTAAAGTTGTTCGGGAGAATGTAACTTTCCCTGGTTTGTAGACACTAAGGCACAGAGCAGTAAATAACTTGCTCAAGGTCACACAGATAATAAATGGCGGGGCCCGGGCTTCTACTTCTAAGGCTTGTCCTCAGAATTGCACAAGGCCTCAAGAACAGGTGCAACAGCACTGGACTTGGAGCGGGGGAAGGATCCGCAGAGGGCTGTGATGAGAACTGCCACACATGGATGGGAACTCACGTGCCCAGGGCAGGGGATGGGCTCCTTTCCGGCTGTGATTGGGCTGGGGGCTGGGCAGTGAGGGGAATGTGGGGCAACCCCTGGGCTGACCTCCCCTCCTCTCCCCAGATGGTGAAGGCAATCCAGGTGCTGCGGATCCACCTGTTGGAGTTGGAAAAAGTCAATGAACTCTGCAAGGACTTTTGCAACCGTTATATCACCTGCCTCAAAACTAAGATGCACAGTGATAACCTGCTCAGGAACGACCTTGGGGGGCCCTACTCCCCCAACCAGCCCTCCATAAACCTGCACTCACAGGTAACACGCAGGGCTGGGTCCTCTCCCTAAGCCAGGTATGCAGAAAGGTCAGAGTCCCCCTTGGTAACCTAGGAAAGGAGACTGGAATTAGTGGGTGCTTTACCTCTGATGCGTTCCTTTACCCATCAAGCAGTGCAGTCTCGCCTGCCAGGTATCAACTTCCCTTAAAACTGACCAGGTCACAGAGGGACAGTTCCTAACTTCCTGATCCAAGATTTCACAAGAAACAAGTGAGCATGAAGGAGACAGGGTACTTGCTCAGGGGAGGAGCTGGGGATGGCCTAGACTTTCTGGCTAATAGGCTTCTCTCTGGAGGGGCTATCTGGAAAGCTCTCTGCACTCCTGGGGGTTAAAAAAAAAAAAAGGCTCAGATCCTTCCCCAAAGCCTTCCTAGCAGCTGAAGACAGCTTCCGCAGACCTGTTCTTCCCGATTGTTCTCTGGACGCTTACCCTACCCTGGCCCCTCTGTCTGCCTAAGGTTGCAGGCCACTGTAGATGTGAACTCAGTCCTCCCGTCCAAGCCTGAGCTGCCGCCTCCTCCTGGGCACTGGAAGTCAGGACACATGTCCACGCACTATGGCCAAGGGCATCCCCTTCTCACCCGGGCACAATGTTTTCTTCAAGCCAAGTAAATTAGAAAGTGGTTGATCACCTCTTCATACCACACGTGCTGGCCTCTATGCATGCCGTGGACTCGCCCCTGCTTCCATTCACTGAGTTCCTGAGCTCAGAACACTCACTGGGGCCCCTGAGAAGTTGCAGAAGTTGTCTCATTAGACAGCCAAGCTCACGGATGTGAGGAAACGTTCCTGGGATGAGTGGTAAGAGGTGCCAAGAAGGATGCTGTGCCGTTCTTATCCCTGTAGGGCCTGTAAGGACCTCCGGGCTGTTAGGAAACAGGAAGCAGGCCAGGTGTGTCCACTGTGACAGTAAGCCCTGAAAATCCACTCAGCATCGCAGCAAACCCGCCCCAGCAGCATCTCTGTGGGATTAGGATTGAGCAGCACACAGGACACAGGGCAGGAAGCTGATTTCCTCTTCCCATTGCGGGAAATCACCGCATCACTTTATTACACCTCTAAAGACAGCAGCCTGGGCTTTGGCTTGCTAATATTCTCTTGAAATAGACTCATTCCTTCGGAGTCTTATTGTACTTTCCCTTATGATCAAAATTAGCAAGAAACTTGCATAAAAGAGGACAATAATTGCTCAACGAGCATCTCGTTTGTAATTTATTAGTTTCTATTATTGTGAGTTACCATGGTGACGCTGCGCAGCCCCAGTGATGGGAGAGATGTAAGATAGGAGCTGAGAAGGCTGTGAGGCCTCACCAAATGGAGATGCACATTTTTATCAGTAATTTTCATGAAAATAATAAGTGAGGAGTTAATGAGATGGAAAGCCATCCTGTGGCTATTGTGAATTTTTTTTTAAGTGTTGATCTAATTAGAATGCATCGGTCAGGAAAAGTAATGAGGATTTAGTGCCTCACAGAGATGTGGGGATCATATCAGAAAATTAGCACAAGTCTTTGGAAATAATCAGGTCCTTGGAGAGGCCCCGGATTCCCCCTCCTGGGCCCTCTGCCTACCTTGAGCTCTGGGCTTCAGGGAGTCCTACGGTGGTGGAGGGGGAAGGAGGGCAGAGTGCTTCGCAGCCACAGTGGCCCCTCAGGGATGGGGGCCTGAGGCCCTCAAGCAGGACGCAGGAAGCAGGGTCACTGCAGGAGCGGGGTTTGCAGAGAGGGAGCACGGGGCTTCGGATGCTCATGGTCTAAGGATGCCGCCTGCAGGAATCAGCCCTCCTGGGTGGTGGTGGCACTCAGCAGGCACCTTGGGGTTTTCAGGGAAGAGAGAGGAACCTTGGAGCATAACACCTCCACCAGAGGGTGAGGCTGGCTCTGGGGTTACCCCTGCAGAAAGGCCTCGATCTGCAGGGAAATCAAAACTCAGACATTTGAGTGGAAAACAAACTGTAGGGGAGGGGTAAAGACACTGAGCGAGCTATTCCTATGTGGCCTCACTCAAACTCTTCCCTGCGTAGCCTGCGACGGCTGTCCCTCCTCCGCGCAGGTGCCAGTGGGTAAATAAGGCAGTTGCCCTTTGGTTGCCAGGGAGCTTCCCAAGCTGCCTCCTGTCTTCCCAGCCCCACCTGTGCACCTCACAAGCTCCCAATTGTGTGTCTTCCTAAAGCTCTAGGTCATTCTGCTCACAGATCCTGGTGCATCTAGAGCTTTCACGTCCACCCACCTGATGCAGCCCTCCTAGGGCCATCCTTGGCCTCCCGTCCAGGGCCAGTTAGGCCACTAAAGGCACTACCCCTGCTGCTGTGCGTCCTCTGTCCAGGGGACACCGACCCTGGCCCACTGCTGTGTAGGTCCAAAGCAGCCCCCTCTCAAGGGCAAAATTAGGTTCTCCCAGGGCAGCCTCCCGGCTCTCCCATCCAGCAATGCTTCCTTCTCCGTCACCTGTCAGAACCACGACACCATTGTTAAGGCAAACATCGCATGTGATTACGTGACAAGCATACATGAGGGTCTCATTCTGTACTAGACAGCACAGGGTTTTAGAGTTTGGGACAGTATTTTGTATATGTGAAGTCACTAAGTCACTTTATTATGGATCTGAAAACAGCTGTCCAGGCTTCTGCTTGCTCATATTCTCTTAAAATAGATGCAGTCCTTCAGGGTCTTACTGTAGTTTCCCGGCAGGTCCCAGCTGTGACCGCATGGTCTTGAATGTGATGAAAGGCCGGCACTTGTTGAAGGAGGCCTTGGAGAGTGGGAAGGAGCAGCGAGGGGGGAGAGAGGAGAAAGTAGGAGGAAAACGTAGAAGGGAAGGAAGAAAGTAGAAAGAAATCGAGGGTCCACTCAGCGTTCACAAGGGAGACGGAGACGGGCAAAGACGTGGGAGGAAAAGGGCAGCGAAGAGAAAGAGGCAGGAAGAGACACAGACTGAGGGGCAGGGAGGCGATGCCGGCAGTGACAGAAGGAGCATGAAAGGAGGCGGAACAGGGAGATGCTGAGTGGGTTGTCCCCAGCTCCTTCGAGGTCAGGCTTGTGTCTTGGTCTCACTGAGGTAGGGCTGAGGCGCGCATGGGTTCTCCTGGGAAGGAGACCAAGTGTTGCCAAGGGCCAGAGCAATGTCGGCGAGGAGAGAGGGGCGTGTGCGTGGGGTGCATTCGTTATGCCCCAGCCTTAATCCCCCCATCCTGAAATAGCTGCCCAGAGCGCCAGCCAGGCCTGGGGAGGGCCGTGTTCCCTCTGGAACAGGATCCCTGGGATCAACATCTCGGCTGCATGCCAGCTTTGTTGCACAATGCTGGCTCATGGTTTTCCCTGTGTGCTAATCATGCAGCCTGTGTTGCAGAGTGGGAGACATTTCTGTTTTCCAGTTGGTGGCCCCACTCCCAGGTGCCATGCTGTACCCTCTCCCTGCTGGTTCTGTGGGGTGTGGGATGTTCTCTATCTGTGGGTGTTCTCTGTGGAGGCGGAACAGAGGTGAGGGAGTAGGCGGGCGTGAGGCTATTTCTACCAAGCAGAACCTAGAGCTTCCAGGACTTAGCTTTCAGCACAGCTAGTTCCTGCCATGTCTCTAGGCAGCCCTCCCACCCTGCCTCACTCACTGGGCCCCACTCTGACCAGCTCCCCCTCTCCATGGAGTGTTAAGCCCAGCCCTACAGCAGGCAGGTGAGCCAGGTGAACCAGAGGTGCCTCTCAGCACTTGGGGGGCCCTTCCTGTGTCTCTGTCTGGGTCTGGGGAGAACACAGGTGGCTGGTCCAGTGGGAGCTCCCAATCCCAGCGGGAAGGAACCAGGAGTCCCAACTGAGGCGCTGGTAAATCGGCCATGAAAGCACGGGGCTCTGAGATGGGGCAAGAAAGGAACTTCAAAAGAGTCAGGGAGAGGAGCCCAGGAAGGGGTTCTGGATGGAGAATCCATGTTTGTGGCAAGAGGCTGCCCTAGCCATCCTGCTTCCACCCTGCAGGGAGCCCAGCCTAAGGCCTGGCATGCATACGCTCACAGCCAGGTCTGTTCCTGCTCAGAGACAGGATGGGAGGAGTTCAGCATGGATTAGATTGGCTGGAGTAAGGATTCTGCCCAATGTGGTGGGAAAGGATTGAGATTCACTGCCATTCGGAGGCTTCTGGGGGAGGAGGCCTTTTAGAAGGCCTAGTGGCTACTGGCATCTCTAAGATGAGCATTCCCGGGGCAGCAAGAGGTCTGGGAGAAGGTGGAGGATAGCCTTCCAGAGTCTCTAGAGAAAGACGGTAGGGGCTGAGCAGGCATTCACTCCTGCATCCGCAGCTACTGGAGCACTTAGGGACCAGCCTGCTGAGCTCCAAGGACATAAATGGACGGGACACAGCCCTTGACCTGCGGATATAACAATGGAGCATCTCCCCCCGCTTTATGTAGGGGCTCAATTCTTCACTGATTATGGTACAACTTGCTAAAGATCTTAAAGGAAGTGGAGAATGTGGGCCACAGAGTCAGGGCTGGAGGTCATTAATTGAATAGTCACATCTCCTATGACACAAAGCAGAGCTGGCAGGTGGAGGGGATGTTTTGAACATTGATTGAGCCCCAGCCCAATGCCCTACGTGTAACAGCTTCTTCATCCCTCACAGTAAGGCTGCAGAGTGCCCATTACTTTCTAAATTTTACAAAAATGAAGATACACTGCCAAGGTCACAAACCGAATAAGAGGCAGAGAGTGGGGTGGGTCACCCCAGAGCCTGAGTCTCCTTATGGTGGTGATGCCTTGTGGTGGTACATTTGAAGGAGAGTAGGGCTCCCAAGTCCTGGGCTTCAGGTAAGGAGGGGTGACCCTGTAGAGCTCAAGGATTCAGGGACTATGGACGAAGAAACCAATTTCTGGGAAGTAAGAATTTGGATTTGTGAATATATTGGAAGTGAGGAGCAGAGAGGTGTGAAGTGGGTCCAAGCCGAGATGCTGCGCTCAGCAGGCCAGACACGCTAGCTCTTCAGCTCTGTGACTC